CTCTTCTTCCTCCTCCTCCTCCTCTTCCTCTCCTTCTCTTCCTACCTTTCAGGGGGAAAGGCACAAAACTCAAATCCCCTAGCAGGTCTCTTGATCACGCGGAGTAAAACTTTTATGTTTTCACGTTCTGTGGCTCACAGCCTGAAGGCTTTGGACCCATTTTCCTCTTGCTACAAAGAAACGCCAAGTATCACCAGCCAAACAGCCCACCCTGGCCCCCCAGCGAGGGGCCACCCGCCCCTTCCCATTGTGTTGTGGGTTCCAGAGGTTGCCTTTTTGCAAAATAAAATTGCAGCTCATTTCTCAACGGGGCCAAATTCAGTTCTGCAACACCTCCCCCCCCCCACCTTGCGCCCAGCTGAGTCTGCAGAGGACTTGAGTTAGACTCGCCTTGGGGTTGGAGCCAACTAGGCTTCAAGTAACTGGCAGAAGTGGGCAGTCCTCAGCTGGGTCTGGCTGCCAGTTGGGAGTCAACTCACAATCCATGTAAGCAGGGCAGAGTCTGGAGTGGGGATCAGTTTACCTTTTTGTCTCAGCCCTGCTGCAGAACCCCCAGCATCTGTCCATCTGGTGGGTGCAGCTACCAAGCCCCCCAAATGCTCCCCAGACATCTACAACTTGGTAGGGAGGCTTGGCTACCCGTGCACCACACCCCATGTCCAGACCTCTAGGGAGGGTCTAGCAGCCAAGTCCCTCTCTTCCGACCCTGTTCCTTAAAAGGCAGTTTTGCCATCTACTTCGTATCTGGATTGAGAGGCTGATTTTTTTTTTCCTTCCCCAAATTACAAAATAAGAAATCGACCTCTTTAAAAAAATTAAGGAAAAATAAAGAAATCTTCCCCCCCCCCACACACACACCCACACACTTTTGGGGCAGAAGAAGCTTGCAATCTGTGCTCATCCTGCTGGGGTGCAGATAAAGATCCTCCGCTGGAGGTTTTATCAGATGGATTGATAAATGGCTTTTGTCCCCTGGCTCCAGTGGGGGCGATGTGCTTTCAGCTCTGAGCTGAAATTGAGAAGGGGGTTCAGGGCCTGTAAAACAACACCCGCCTGCTTTTAAAGCTACAGCACTTGTTTGCTGGGGGGCACAGGAAGGGAAGGGCCAGGTAGAAGATTCTGGGACTTGGGCAGGCTGAATGAGAGTGTGTGTGTTCATTTCTTAGTTCATGTCTTGGTCTTAGAACAACAACAACAACCATGTTCAATTATTCCAGCCTAGTCTGAGGAGCACCGGTGCATTCTATAATTCACAACCCAAATTCCATCACTGTTGTTTCCAAGAAACCCATTTCTTTTTGGCTTCAAGACCAGTAACCAAATTCTGATTGTGGCTGGCGTTTCTCATCAGACCCCTTACCTGCCATCTGCTCTCAGAACTATCCACCTTACTGAAAACTGAGCTCCTTGCTAGCCACAGCAAAGCAGAGGCTGGGAGCCCTTCCGGGAGCTCAAAAACCTGGGGTCAGAAGACAGTTTCCTAGCTGGGTGCTGGTGGCTCCTAGGAGGCTGAGATCTAAAGATCACAGTTCAAAGACAGCCCGGGCAGAAAAAGCTGAGAAACTCATGTCTTTTAATCAACCATCCAAAAGCCAGAAGCTATGGCTTAAGTGGTAGAGCACCAGCCTTGAGAGAGAAAAAAATTGTAGGGACAGTGCTCAGGCCCTGAGTTCAAGCCCCAATATCAACACACAGACAAAAGAAAGAAGGAAGGAAGGACGGAAGGATGATTTCCTAAATAAAGGATGAGATGGAATAATTTCCACCACCAATACAGTGTTGCATTCTTTGACGTGAGACCCCAAGAGAGAATGGGTGCTTTGGAAACTTCGGTGCTGATGGGGAGCAGTCACGTGTTAGAGAAAAGCAAAATTCCAGGCAGGTACAAGGTGATGTCCAGAGACATCAGTGGGGGGTGGGGCGGGGCGGGGGATGGGCAGTCTGTGTGTTGCAGCCTGTCTCACCAAGACAGGTGGAAGCTGGCTGAGCGGCCCCCTGAAAGCGTGGGTTTGTTCAGAGCTCAGCAGCTGGCGTGGCTGCCAGGAGTTAAACCCATAGGGTGCAAATTGCATTGGACACAGTAACGTGGAGAAAGGCGTCTTTGCTCTTCCAGACTGAGAGCATTTGTGTGTTCTGTTTACCTGCCCCACATGCACGGCCAACACGCTGTGCCTCGGCCTCCATGGCCGCTTCAGGGACCCCCTTGGCGGACCTTGGGCTGATACAGCCTGGGAAGGAGAAAAGGACTCCGCAGTGGCAGGCGAGCGCTGCTGGGGGGACACGGGACAGGACAGAGCAAGCTGGGTGCTGGGGCTCACTCCTGTCATCCTAGCCACTCTGGAGGCTGAGATCTGAGAATCAGGGTTCAAAGCCAGCCGGGGCAGGAGAGAGCCTGTAAGACTGGCAGTCTCCACTTAACTAGCAGAAAGCCAGAAGCGGAATTGTGGCTCAAGTGGTAGAGTGCCAGCCTTGAGCACAAAAGCTAAAGCAGAGTGCCCAGGCCCTGAGTTCAAGGTCCCAGCATTGCACCAGATAAAACAAAAGAAGAATCCTTCTGTCTTTCAGCTAAGCACACAGGAGTCTGGTTTCCCGGGGCAGCCCCCGTTACTCAGCAGAAAGTTCTGGGCCTTGACTCTTCCCCAGGTAGCCCATGGCCTCCAAACACAAGCTCCCCCACCCCACCCCCCAGCCACTGATCGGTCCCCAGGGGACCTCAGCTCCCCAGTGCCACTGAGCTGCTCTGCCTGCCCCTGCCCAGCTGTGAACCCAGCCCCCCCAGCCCCCCTATCCCCATCACCTCACCTCTGCTCTCCCCTAGCTGAGGTTCTTTGAGAAGCTTCCTTTTGTAGGCCAGGCCATGGAGGAGGGCCTCTAGAAGGTTCTTGGTGGAGGATGGGGGAGGGGGGCGCAGGTGGGGGGGGAGTCCAGTGTCCTGGGGCACTGGGGTGCTCTGGGGAATTGGTTCTGGCTGCCCCGGTTGGGTATGGTGGAGTGGGCCTCCGGCCCGTCCCTCTCAGCCTCTGCAGCCGAACACCTGGCTGTGTGCTCCCGGCATGCTGCAGAGAAGTTCCCACGGGGCAGGGATGGGCCAGGGACTGAGGGGGGCGCAAGCTGGGGTGAGCAAGTTGCCCCCCATCTCCTGAGGGGGTCTTCTCCCTGGGGGGCAGTGAGGACGGGGATATGGAAGAAGAATCTTGGATGTCTCGAGGCTGGCAGGGGATTCTTTTCTGCCTGTACAGTGATTTGAACTCAGGACCTTGTGTTTGGCTGGTGTACTACCCGTTGAACCATAGCCCCAGTCCTGTGTTTTGCTGGCGAGCATGGAAACAGTCTCTCAGACTTCTTTTTCCTGCCCAGGCTGGCTGGTGAGCAGTTCCTCCAGGCCTCAGCCTCCTGAGTGGCCAGGGCTACAGGTGTGCCAGGGCTTCCAGAGGCCTTTCCAAGGTTGCCCCCTCTTCCCTCCATCCACTTGCCGCTGTCTGCGATGAAGACATCGCCCCTGTATCCTGGAGAGCAGGGCTGTGATCAGGCAGTGCGCATTTATCCCCAGTTCTCAGAGGCTGCTGGGAAAGGGTGGGACCAAGACCCAAGTCTTCAGGAACGCACCTGGGTTGTGGTGCAGTGAAAGGGGGAACTAACTGGACGGGTGGACGGGTCCACGCCCCCCCCCCGCCCCGTCTTGGTACTGAGATAGGGAAGAAGAGGGGTGTGGTCTTGCCTGGTGGGAATGGATGATCTGCCTCCCTGCATCCCCTTCCTTCCCATCCCCACCTACTGCCCCCCTGCTGGCAGAATCCAACAAGGAGCTGGGTGACCAGAGAGAAACGCGGGGTGGGGTGTTGGGGGATTGCACAGCGCAGGACAGAGGCTTGGAGCAGCCTGGCATTCATGTTACTTCTGGCCCCACCCACCAAGCTACAGGCTGACCAATCAGCCCCCGCCTCCCAGCAAGCTCAGGGGGCCCCAGACCCTTGTTTGGTCACTGAGCAGTGGTTTCTTTCCTGATGCCCTCTGGCCTCTGTCCTTAAGAAAGTCGAGTTGCCTGGTACCTGAGTCCTCGCCGCAGTGGGGTCTGGTCCAGGACTAGGATTAGTCACTGTTCCTGGCAACACAGTCTCGCCCAGGACTGCCAGCGAGCGAGTAACTCCATTCAGAAGGTCACCACGCCAAGCCACAGAGTTGAACCGCAACCATCTGAACGTGGGGCTCGGGTTTGAAATGAGCCTTTACTGCTTTAAGAGGAGGCGGGTTTCCCTCCCTCCTTCCCTCCAGGCCTCTGAAACCTGACCTGACCCCTTGCACCCCGGGAATGTGTGGCTCTATTGGGCTTTTCTGAATGGCAAATTGCACTGTCTTTATTCTGGGGCTGGGGAGCAGCTCTTGAATTCCTAAGACTTCTAGGGAGGTGGGTGTTCATGGGAAGAGGGGGGGACCCCTCACACCCCCTCCACATGGGGCAAAGTAAGTTTTCATTGGGTTTCTTTGTTATGCAAACAGGGTGGTAATAATCAGACTATTATTCCCACAGATTGGGCTTGATTCACAGTTCAAAGGGAAGGGGAACCTCAGAAAAATAGCTTAAGACAACTCTAGTGCAGAAAGCCTCTCTTCCTGCTGCTGGGTTGCTCCTGGGGGGGGGGGGGGAGGCGGGAAATTCATTCGGTCAGGCTGGGTGGTTCTGATTTCTCTACCACCTAGGCCAACAGGGGAGGTGGTCTGGAGCACATACCCCAAAGTGTGGGTTGAGGGTGAGCCCTGACGCAGGCCTGGCCCTGGCTGCGTTCAGAGAAGACCCCCCCCACACACCTCCGTTCTCCCCAGACACACAGCAGCACTTGGAGTGGATGGAGGGGTGGAAAAGACGGCAGCAAATCCCCAAGTTGCCGGTGGCGCACACAGATCTTGAGGCCAAGATCCCAAGGATCACAGTGGGAATCTAGACCTGACATTACAGCCTTGAGAAATTCCATCTCCAATTAGCCAGTAAAAATCCAGGCTGGAGGTGTGACTCAAGTGGTAAGAGCAACAACTGAGCAAGCAAACACAAGGCCCGGAGTTCACACCCTCGTACTGCCCCCTCAGCTTTGTCCACTTCTGGGCAGAAGCGTGGAGAATGTTCTCCGGATGGCTGAGAATCGGAGTCAGCAGTACTAGGGGGAGAGGGGAGGTTTGAACTTGGGGCTTGAGCTCTGTCCCTGAGCTTTTGTGCTCCAGGCTGGTGCTCTTACCGTTTGAGTCACAGCTTCACTTGCGGCTTCTGGGTGGTTCGTTGGAAGTAAGAGTCTCATGGACTTTCCTGCTCTGGCTGGCTTCAAACCATAGTCTTCCAATCTCAGCCTGCTTGAGCAGCTGTGATTTCAAAGGCTGCTAAGGTTCACAGGACTTTTAGGAAACAAATGGAGTAGAGATACCCCCCCCCCTCTGCCCTTCAACCCTTAGGGGCTACAGGAAACCTCGCTTCAGGAGAGCTCTTTCCACAAACCTGACAGATCAGCCGGAAAAATCTAGAAGACCAGATAGGTTCTCCCCTTTCCATGCACCTGCTGGAAAGCTGCCTCCGGTCTGCAGACGGGGTGTGTTTGGCCGGGTGTTACACGAGGTGGCACCTGACTCCCCCTGGGCCTGGCAGATGGGGCCTGGGGTCTCTGGGTCCCCCATGGTGATCCTGTGTCCTCCTCCTCCTCCTCCCCAGCCTCCTCCCCGTGCAAGATCCTCAAGTGTAACTCCGAGTTCTGGAGCGCCACGTCGGGCAGCCACGCCCCGGCCTCGGACGACACCCCCGAGTTCTGCGCGGCGCTGCGCACCTACGCCTTGTGCACCCGCCGCACGGCCCGCACCTGCCGCGGGGACCTGGCCTACCACTCGGCCGTGCACGGCATAGAGGATCTCATGGACCAGCACAACTGCTCCAGGGACGGCCCCACGGCCCAGCCGCGCCCGCGCACGCCCGCGCCGCCCGCTGGGGACAGCCAGGAGCGCGCCGACAGCCCCGAGACCTGCCACTACGAGAAGACCTTCCACAAGCACGCGGCCGCCCCCAACTACACGCACTGCGGCCTCTTTGGGGACCCCCACCTCAGGACCTTCACAGACCGTTTCCAGACCTGCAAGGTGCAGGGCGCCTGGCCGCTCATCGACAATAATTACCTGAATGTGCAGGTCACCAACACGCCGGTGCTGCCGGGCTCGGCCGCCACCGCCACCAGCAAGGTAAGCGACAGGACGCCCGCCGCCGTGCCGCCCGCACACCGCGGCCCCCACCAGTCTTTATCCGTCTGGGGGAAGTGGTTGGGAATTCGAATTCAGGGCCTTCCCTTGGCATGTTTGGCTCTCTGGCATTTGAGCCATGCCTGCAGTCTGGCTTCTTGCTGGTTATTGTGTGTGTGTGTGTGTGTGTGTGTGTGTGTGTGTGTGTGTATGTGTATGTGCGTGTGCCAGTCTAGGGCTTGAACTTGGGGCCTGTCTCTGAGCTTTTGTGCTCAAGGCACAGGTCCATTTCTGGCTTTGTGAAGATTCACTGGAGATAAGAGGCTCAGCCGGGTGTCCGTGAGACTCCTATCTCCAAAAAAACACCAGAAAACTGGAAGTGGTGCTGTGGCTCAAGCAGTAGAGCGCTCGCCTTGAGCTGAAGAGCTGAGGGACAGCACCTAGGTCCAGAGTTCAAGTCCCACGACTGACCAAAAAAAAACTGGCCGGGCTGGCTTTGATCTGGACTCCCCAGATCTCAGCCTCCCCAAGTAGCAAGGATGACAGGCATGAGCCACCATGCCTGGCCTTGCTTTTTATTTCGGAGACCAGAGTCTCACAGACCAGGTGATGGGGACGCACGCCCCTCCTCAGTGTCTGGCCTCTGCCCCCTGCCGGTCCTGGCCACCAGACCCCCCTGGGGCCTCGGCCGGCCATTGTGGTGGGTGTGTTGTCCCAGGAAGGCTATGTGATGTGTGAGCGCCATGTGGTGGGTAGTGTCTGGCTGGGCCGCAGGGGCGTTTCTGCCCTTGCCCGGCCTGCCACACCCCAGAAGAGGACAGCCAAAGAGGGAAATGTGCCCTGGCTGCTTCCTTCTGGGCAGGAAGCCAACAGGCCTTTAGACCTGAGGAAGCCCCAACCGGCCCTCAGTGCCCCCTGGTGAGCCCTAGTGGGCCACAAATCTAACCTGAGTGCACCTGTCCCCCTCCCCCCTTCCCAGCCTCTTCAGACCCAAGGGTCACCCTCCCTCCCCAACACCTTCCCTCTAAAGAGCCAAGGTCCCTGCACCCTGGGAGCCAGAGGCTACAGCTCCTGAATCCTACAGCCAACCAGGGCCCAGTCATCCCAGCTACTCAGGAGGCTGAGATCAAAGCCAGCCTGGGCAGACCAACCTGAGACACTCTTTATCTCCAACTAACCAGCAAAAAGCTGAAGCGGAGCTGTGGCTCAAGTGTTAGAGCACCAGCCCACAGCAAAAAAAAAAAAAAAGCTTGAGGGACCATAAGCACCCAGACCCGGAGTTCAAGCCCCAGTACCTGCAAAAAGAGAGGAAGGGAAAGGAAGGAAGGAAGGAGGGAGGACACCAGGCCTAGCACTCAGCTGAGACCCACTGGGACCCGGATCCCCCAATGCTGTCCCCCTCTGCAAGTGGGTTCATCATTCATTCGTTCACTCCTGTTTCATTCATTCCCCTGCCGGTAGGATTCCAGACTTCAGGCCGGCTCCATGCTCCTCAGAACTGCCCAAGCCAGGATGGGAGGCCCTCCCGCCCTGTGCCAGCATGGAGATTTCCAGAAGGGGGGTCCAGGGCTGTGTATGTAGCCAGGCTTGACCAGACCAGCCCTTCCGCTGTGACCCAGCCACCTTTGATCTCAGCAGGCTGAAAACTCCCAGACACCCGCCACCTGCCCCCAAGCCCCGTCCACCCAGCCCTCCCGGAGGCCAGACAGTGACAGCGTCAGTGTTTGCGGCCAAGCCCAGCTCAGAACTTGGGCCAGACTGGGAGCCTTGCGGTCCCCGGGTGAGAAACAGGGCTGGCTGGCATCCAGTACCCCGGCCTGCCCCTGCCTGCCGAGGGAGGCCTGGGCTCCCAGGTGTCAGGTTCACTCACCCCCTTCCTCTCTCCAGATCCCAGCCAGGGAGACACAGAGCAGCAGGGAGTCAGCACCCCAGGGTCCCCCGGCGCCTTGGCCCCCAGCTCTGGACTGGGCACTGAGAAATCAGTGCCCCAATCCCATCATGCCTTGCAGAGTGGGGGGCAGGAGGAGACTGTGGTTCATTCCCACAGCCCTGCCAGTGTCCAGCCTGCCTCCTTCCTCTCTCCTGAGGGATGATCCGATGGAGAATACTCACCACCTACTGGCGGCTGACGCCTGGCAGCCCAGCTACGCGGGAGGCTGAGATCTAAGGATCCCAGTTGTAAAAAATCAGCCAAGGCCAATTAATCTCTAATTAACCACCCAAAAGCTAGAAGTGGAGGTGTGGCTCAAGTGGTAGAGCACTATCCTTGAGCAAACAATGACTCAGAGGGTAGAGCCCAGGCCCTGAGTTCAAGCTCTAGTACAGACAGACAGACACACACACACACACACACCATTCTCCAGCCCTGGCAAGCAAGTCAGCCAGGAAAAGAAACTGAGGCTGCGAGGACAGGGAAGAAGGGCCCCCTCCCCGTCCCCCCTCCCGTCCCCCCCCATGTGTCCTGGGTGTGATTCATCTACTTGGTCCAGCCCCCACCTCCCCCCCAGGGCTCCCCGTGTCCCACCCCTGGCTTTATCTGCAGGGTGCAGTAAAGCCCGCTCTGCCCTGTGTGGAGGGGGGTGCTTCTTGGGGGCGGGGGCCGAGGCCGAGCAGCCTATGGCGGTTGGCAGTGCGCCGCCGGCTTTCGACAGGCCCCCTTCATGCTGTTACTTGTGGTTGCCTCCCTGGTACCCATGCCAGGGAGTCGGGCGGCCTGGTGGCTTTCCAGGAGGTGTCTGCTAGAGATGGCGGCGGCGGCGGCGGGCAAACTCGCCTTTCCTGTTCCCGGGGCCGGGCGGCACTGGGCAGGCAGGGTGTCCCCATCCGAACCCCCGGAGTCTGGGTGGCTCTGTGCACCAGGCAGGGCCGCCCCAGCCCTTCATGACCACGCCCCCTCCTCCCAAGTAGCAGGACCACCCACTGCCCGGACCACCCTGGCGGCCCCCCCCCTGCTGGCACGGTGGGCTCGGCTGTTGGCTGCAGAGGAAGGAGAGGTGAACCACGCGGAGTTGGCAGTTTCACAGGGCAGGGAGGAGAGAGCAGCAGCAAGACTACACGCAGGCCAGAATCGGGGCTCCAGGCAGGTGGGAGAGAGCATCCCCCTCCCCTGCTCCGGGTACCAGGCCAAGACCTGTGGTCAGGCCCCCCTGGGTGTCCACCTGGCCTGGAGACTCCGATTCTGGGGGTTCATGAAGCAAGCAGGCCAAACCCCTGGCCTGAGCCAGTTGCCTCTCAGGTCCAGAGAGCCCAGGGCCAGACCAAAAGACTTTTGTTTTAAGTGAGAAGAAAGACGTCAATACGATTCATATCAAGTCCAAGCTGGGAGCTGAGAGTTTACACCTATAATCCCTGCTACTTGGGAGGCTGAGATCTGAGGATCGCAGTTCAAATCCAGCCCAGGCAGGAAAGTCTGTGAGACTCTTATCTCCAATGAACCACTCAGAAAAACAGAAGTGGTGCTGTGGCTCAAGTGGTAGAGCGCTAGCCTTGAGCAAAAGAGCTCAGGGACAGCACCCAGGCCCTGAGTTCAAGCCCAACAAACAACAACATGTCAATATGTCAAGCCTAGACTATATGTATCTTTATACCAGAGCAGTGAGAAATTGTGATTGTGTGTGTGTGTGTGTGTGTGTGTTCCATGAGAGAAGGGTCCCCAGAAACTCCAAGCCCTGCCCTACCATAGAGCACCCCGCTCTAGTCCTCCAACCCTACTTTGTTTCTTTTCCTTCTTTTTATTTTTCCTTGCTTGTTTCTTGTTTACTTTAATGTCCATGACGGGGCTTGAACTCAGGGCCTGGGTTCTGTCCCTGAGCTTTTTCATTCAAGGCTAGTGCTCTACCACTTGGTGTCACAGCTCCACTTCTGGTTTTCTGGTGGTTCATGGGAGATCAGAGTCTCATGGACTTTCCTGCCCAGGCTGGCTTCCAACTGCGATCCTCAGATCTCAGCCTCCTGAGGAGCTAGAGTGACAGGCGGGAGCCACTGGGGCCTGGCTTTTCCTTCCTTCCTTCCTTCCTTCCTTCTTTCTTGATGGCACTAAGATTTGAACCCGCATCTCACCCCCCACCCCCTCTTCCCTCTCCCTGCAGCTCACCATCATCTTCAAGAACTTCCAGGAGTGCGTGGACCAGAAGGTTTACCAAGCCGAGATGGACGAGCTTCCCGCAGCCTTTGCTGATGGCTCCAAAAATGGGGGGGACAAACATGGGGCCAACAGCCTGAAGATCACCGAGAAGGTGTCGGGCCAGCACGTGGAGATCCAAGCCAAGTACATCGGCACCACCATCGTGGTTCGGCAGGTGGGCCGCTACCTGACCTTCGCCATCCGCATGCCGGAGGAGGTGGTCAACGCCGTGGAGGACCAGGACGGCCAGGGCCTCTACCTCTGCCTCCGCGGCTGCCCGCTCAACCAGCAGATCGACTTCCAGGCCTTCCACACGGGCCCTGAGCGGCCCGGGGCCCGCAGGCCGGCGGCCGACAGCCCGGCCCCCGCAGCCCCAGACACGTTTCCCTACGAGATCGCCGTGGCCAAGTGCAAGGAGAAGCTGCCGGTGGAGGACCTGTACTACCAGGCCTGCGTGTTCGACCTCCTGACCACGGGGGACGTGAACTTCACGCTGGCCGCCTTCTATGCCCTGGAGGATGTGAAGACGCTGCACTCCGACAAGGCCAAGCTGCACCTGTACGAGCGGACGCGGGAACGCGCGCGGGGGGTGGCCGCCGCCCCGGCCCCCCCGGGGCCCCGGCCCCTGCTGGGCGCCCTGGCGCTCCTCCTCCTGCTGCCCAGGAGCTGGTAGCCGCCCAGACGGCCGTGTGGCGCCCGGCACCCCAAGAGGGAGGCCCAGCTTTGGCTTTTGGGAGCAGAGGTGGCCGCGGGCCATGGACAGATCTCCCCCAGAACTCATGGGGGGAGGGGGGTGGCACCCCATCTTCCCTAGACAAGGTTGTGATGATCGTGGTGCTGTGATGTTGGTGACGGTGAAGCTGTGGGGAGCCACCACAGCTCCCCTCCGCAACGCCCACCCCTGCCGTCCCCCCAGGCTGATGCGCCCCCCACCCTGTGCCCCCCCACACCAGAGAAACACTGGGAACATCAGCCCCCCTCCCCCCACAATGCACTGAGACAGGCTGACTGCTGCACGCGCACGCACACACACACACACTCACATGCAGCCTGGGAGGGCTCCCCAGGGACTGAGGGGGGCTGAGGTACCCCAGCCCAGCCTTCAAGGGGAACGCCGCCCTCCATAGAGCCCCGAGGAGGCGGCATATGCGCACCGGGTGGCTGTGGACACCTGATCTAGCCCCGCCCTCCTCCCCGTCCCAGAAAGCACTGGGTTCTAAATACCCAGACAGGAGTGGTCCCCCCATTCCCCACCCCCGCTGCAGGATGCGCACACCATCAGTCCACCCCACGGATAGAGCCGGCTGGCCTGCCCTGTCCTGCGTTCTCCCAACTGCTGGTCAGCCCCCCACCTTCACTCCCTCCCAGCAGGATGGGGAACCCCCAAACAGCACAGCAGGGCATCCTGCAGCCCGCCCCACCCCCACCCAGTGTCCACCGCCGCCCCCCCCCCCACTGCTCCCCAGGGACCTCTCATACACTGGCCAAAGAGGCGGCAGAGCCTGCCTCTCCCCCTGCCCCCCGAGGTCCCCCTCCCCACCCCAGCCCCCCAAAACACCCAAACCACACCGTGCGGCCCCTCCCCTGCCCCTCGGGCGTTTTTTTGTTTCGTTTTGTGTTTTTTTTAGCTATCCCTAGGTTGGAGGTCAGATGTTAAAGCACTTTATTTCGGTTGTGTTTGAGGGTGTTCTTGCTTGCAAGTGGGGGGCCTTGCACTGTGTCCGTGCGTGTCCGCGGCCCAGCGCCGTGTGTACATACTGTAAATTATTTATTAATGGCTGAATGCAAGTAAAGTTTGGGGTTCTTTTTTGTCGTGGTGGTGGTGGTTTTCTTTTAGACGCAATGGAGGAGTTTGGTTTCTCTCGGGGGACTGGGGGGGGGCTTTGGGGGTGGGTACCCCCTAGCTGGGAGTGTATGGGGAGGTTGCGTGCGCACGGGTGTGTGTGTATGTGCGTGCCCCTGGGTCGTGAGTTCACGTGGAAGAGGCCACAGGCTCCCCCCAGGGCCCTTCACCTCTAAACTCAGTTCATCACTGGGAGCAAGCCGGAGCTGTGCGCCCAGCTCCTGGCTCTGGACGCGCTGGGAGCCTGGCGCTGGCCGTGGAGCCATGGGCTGGGCCGCAGGGAGCTGTCTGTCTTCTAAGATGAAGCTGGAGGTCCGGCCAGCCCAGGACATCTGGTCCCAGGCAAGAACCTTATCCAACAAAGAATGGAAAGGAAAAAAAAGCAGAATGCATTTCCAAGGAAGGGGGCTTGGACTAGAATTAGAAACAGACACGTGGTCGGAGCTCGGGAGAGTGGCGGAGCAGGAGTAGAGTTTATCTCCACTGTGCCAGAGCTGGGGCAGGGAGGGGGGGAATACTGAGGTTCGGGGTGACAGGCTGACGGGCTAGCTGTGTCGTCTCCCCTGGAGCCCCCTCCCCCAGCCGGAGAGTCCTGATTCTCCCGGGGCTGTGATGGAAATCTAGTGAGCTAATGCCAGGCGATTTGTCTGGCATACAGCGACTGGCACAGGGCAAGAAGGCCACCAAATACAGAGGTCCCCTCTCCAGTGACTGCCTGTGTGTGCCTGCTCTAAAGCAGGGGGCGGGGGGGGCAGCGACAAGCATGGAGGAGGAGGGGAGGGCAGGGCACCTCTGCCTAGCTCCCCTGCGGGAATTTGAGGGATTGGAATTCTTTCCAGAACTTTCCTCGGGCAAAGGTTTGGGGGAGGGGGAGAAGGCAAGGGGGTTCACGACGGTCGTCAGTGACGTGAGCTGGCTCACGTGGGGGACACACCTGGGAAGGGTTGGGGGCTGTGGCTCCAGTGGGAGAGCACCAGCCTTGAGCTAAGGCAGCTCAGGGACAGCGCCCTGAGTCCAAGCCCAGGACTGAAGCAAAGAGGGTTGGAAATGAGGGCCGTGGCAGTCCCCAAAATGCACCCTGGAAAAAACATTGAACACCCCCACCCCACCCCCAGTCTCGCACGCAGTTGGCCGAGGGGAAGAGGCCTTGTGCTTGATGGCCAAGCGTGGCCGGTGGCCAGAGCAGGGACACGAGCGCTGGCTCCCCCAGGCTGCGGGCCCAGCGGTGTTCTAATCCCTCTCCGCTCACCGCCCCACCTGCATGGCCACGCCGAGGAGGGAGGGCAGGCCATCTTGAGGGCTGGGCCCCCAGGCCAGTTGTTTTCTGCCCATCACGCCCAGCCCAGCTGACCCTGGCCGTGGGATGAACTCCAGTCTCCATGACTGAGTCCTGCCGTCGCTTTGATGACGTCAACCAACGGTCCTAGCAGGCCGGCACTGCTGTAGGGTGAGCAGAGCCAGGTGGGAAAAGTCACCGAAGGCCTAGAAGAAAACCAGGTTCACCCAGCCGTCACCCAGCCACCTGCTCCTAACCACAAAGGGACCCGCTCAGAGCTCAGAACTCCACCTGAAGGACAGCTAGAGAGGGGGACTTCAAACCGAGGGGGGGGGGGGAGGGGGGGGGGGAGGGAGAGAGAGAGAGACAGAAACAGGGGGGGGGGGAGGGGGAGGGAGGATGGAGGAGGAGGCCGGACCCGTCTCCAGGTGTGAGAGGCTCAGGTGTGGGGGAGAAGGGGACCAGAGTGGCCTGTCGTCTGGGTCAAGGTTAAGGGCTGGGGGTGAAGTCCCCCGGATCAGACCCATGAAGGCGGTACGCAGCCCATCCAGTGCCATGACACATTTCTGGGACACTTGCCATGTTCTGGTTACCGGGCCAACTTCTAGATGTAGGTGCTAATTTATCATGGCCGAACCCCTCCCAGCACCCCCCATTCCTGGAATCCAGGTGGCTGGAAGCCCAGACAGGCTCCATCAGAAGGAGGTTTGGTGGGCAGAGCCCTTGGGTGGCTTTCAGGTCAAAACCAGAGCCTGGACCACTAGAAACCAGATCTGTAGAGCACGTCACCCGTCCCTTCCCAGCAGAAACATCTACAGTTCCTGGGGGAAACGTCTTTGCCCTGCCAGCGACCAGAAGCTGAGCCCAGAGAAGGCAGGTCTGGGGTGATTTTGTCTAATGCAAAAACAAAAAAATCAAGAGTCCTTTTTCTCCTTTCCTCCCCTGCACAAGTATCTGGGGGGCCGTCCCTGTGTGTGACTGGTTGCAAGCTAGATTTGGAGGAGAACAGTCACGAGTTCAGCCCTCGGGCGGGCGGAGGTGTCTGTCCTCACTGGTGACCTCTCCTGGTAGGAGGCCAGCATGACAAGTCACAGTCACGCAGTGGTGGAAGTTGGGGCCTGGCTGTCCAGTCCCTGTGTTTTAGCCCGTCTTGTCCGATAGGAATTTAAGTTAGCCATGCCAGGGCTAGCGTCAGATCCTCCCCACCGTAAGTAGCTAGGATTGCTGGCATGAGTCACCGCACCAGGCCTGGCGTGTTGGTTTTGACATAGGTTCTCTTGGTAACCGGAGCCAAATCCTGACCTTTCCAACCAGACCCTGACATGGGGACTTGCGTGTCCGTATCATTGGTGGATGCTGTCATTAACCAGAATCCTGCTAAACTGCTCCTGCTCCACCCCTGACGTGGATCCTGCCATCCAGCTCCAGCCAGCTGGCTTTGATCAGGTGAGTTCTGATCCCAGGCCTGCCTTCAGCAAGAATCCTGTTCCGTCAGTTTAGCGGGGACTTACAGCCCTCGGTGTTTCCTTTTGGTCATTTTCCACCCATGAGCCTCACCTGCTCCTTAGCCATACAGTACCTCTCACCTGTGATGTGTCTGGACTTGAAGACTCCCATAACAGCAGTCCCACGTCCACCCACCCACCCCTTCAGCGAGGCCCTGACCATCCTTAATGTATGCCCTGAATTTTGTGCTTCCCACCCCCCCTTTTTTTTCTTTTTAATTCTTCCAGCCACTTCCTTGCTGTGGGATCTCAGATAGGTTACCTAACATCTCTGGGTCTCACGAGCTTCAACTGAAAACCGGGAATCAATTCTGCCTTCTAAGCCAGGCTCTCGTGGCTCACGCCTGTCATCCTAGCTACTCAGGGAGCCAAGATCTGAGAATTGTGGCTCAAAGCCAGCCGAGGCAGGAAAGTCTGTGAGACTCTTCTCTCCAATTAAACACACACACACACACAAAGGCAGAAGGGGTACTGCAGCTCAAAAGTGGTAGAGTGCTAGCCTTGAGCAAAAGAGCTCAGAGACAGACAACACCCAGACCCTGAGTTCAAGCCCGTGATGAACTAACTAAATAAGTAATCTACCTTATAGATTACTGTGAGGACCAAATTTAAACATCACAATAGAGCAATGGGTCCCGGGACCTGGCACCTCGTCGCTGGCCACAGATCGTGTCTTCTGCCATTTTATTTACCCACGAGTCTAGGTCCTGACCGGCTTAGGGCTCCCTCAGCCACCACATGGAGGAGGGGCAGGGCAGGCCTGACTGGGGTGCAGGGGGGCGTGGTCTTGTGCATCCAGGACAGGAGCTGGGAATGAGGGGTTCCCCACGCTAGCAGCGCGACATCCCCTTGGCCTCCTGCGTGCCTAGAGGCTGAGGCCTCAGCCAGTCATCTCTCATCCCCCCTCACCTCCTTCGGGGTGAGGGGGGCTCCAGTCTACTGGGCCCTGCGGTGCATATGGGCAGGAGGAAGAGCCCACAGCCTCGCCTGGCTGGGTTTAGCTGTCAGCCCCCAGGCCGCGGCTTGCGGAGCGCTGCTGCCCTCTGCAGGTCAGTTCTAGAACCACATGCACTCAGGGCTCCGTTTCCACTCCAGATTGGTGAGTGCCTTGGAAGGTTCCTACATCCACCTTCAGCACCAACAGAGAGCTGCACCTATCCATGTGGCTCCCCCCACCCCGAGGCGGGGGGACGGGGCTGGCCTCAGCCTGCTGCAACCCTCACACATTTGGAGAGACGGCACAGCGTGCCCACTAGTGCCCCACGTTAAGACACAACCAAGGTTCAAGCCCGGGTCACCACTCACACCCTCTGGCTTCGGGTCCTCTGCCAGGCCTGGCTACAGCAGCTGGGTGGTTTCCTCTCTGGTGCTCAAGTGTGACAGGCAGCCCTCTTGCTGTTTGCTTGCCTGGTGTCTGTCTGGCCAGCCCCAATCCAGGCTAGACTATCAGCTCCAAGAGGGCACAAGGCCCATCCTTTCAAGGGGATCTGTTGAAGGAAAACTGTCTGCCATTAACTGTGTGGTCCAGTGGTGATTCCTCCATCAGACGGGGGCTCCTCCGGTCTCAGCTGGGGTTCAGCCCCCCCCCCAGCATACTACTGCTTCACACAGCCGCCTTCTCAGGCTGCACAGGCTCTGTCCTCGCTCAGCCACAATGTCCCAGCTCCCCCACCAGCCAAGAACTGAAGTTGCCCTTTCCACTGTGCACTCTTCCACCAAACCCACATTAACCCCACCACCGTGTCCTTCCTGTGCAAATGAAGAGGCAAAGGTCAGCCCTGCTGCACCCTGGGAGGGAGCAGGTGGGGGCAAGGCCCTGACTCCCTCAGACTCTTCTAGACCTCATAAGAATCCTGAAGGCATGGGCAGGTCCAGCGGCATTAGCGAGGCCTGCAGGAAAGAAGGGGTAAGGATCCGCTGACCGGGGTGACGCTTGTCAGCTGCAGACGGCCCTACACACTTCTACAGGATGCCAGAGCAGCGGGCCCCTCCCCCCACCTCTCATGGCTGTAGAGCTGACCAGGAAACCCCCAAGCCAGGAATCCCCAGGCCGCGAGGCTGGCCAGCTGCGGTGGGCAGGCTGCTCGGTGCTATTTTCCTTTTTCCTGCCCAGCTGCATTCCTGCCCAGCTGCATGGCGCAGAACTGGTCATGGAGACTGACCCCCTAGGAGGTCCAGGCCTGAGACAGGATGGGGGGGTGGTGAAGCCCGGCCCCCACCACAAAGCTGGTCCCTGGTCCTTTAAGAGCCGCAGCTTGGGATCTGGAGTGGAGACTCGGATCTCAGCAAGTGACCTTTCTGCTGGTGTTGAGGCGGCCTTGCAGCCATGCCAGGCCCACGCAGGACCCCACCAGGGAGGGAGGGAGGAGGGAGGGAAGAAGGCCAGGGCTTGGGCCTGCTGCTTCCAGTAACAGGCAGGGGTTTTGGCAGCTGCTGGTTGAGAAGCCTTGTAGCCATTGTAAATCACAACCCACAGATTGTTACAGCACTTGTTCTTAGTTTCCCGAGCCGGTGCAGCCAGCGGGGACCTGCGGTGGGATTAGGCGTGGAGTGGTTTTCCTGGAAGAGCCCTGGGTCTTCTTCCACTCAAGCCTGGCCTCCCGCCCCACCAGGCTGAGCAAAGGCCCTGGGGCTGCTGCAGCTCAGCTCAGGGGGACATGCGGGATGATGTGCAACCAAGAATCAAGAGCATCCTCGAGACAGGAATTTGGTTTCGAAGTTAGGAAAACCCTTGGGTCTGGGCAGCCTCCTCCTCAGCCCTCCCTGGGGGAAATCTCTGGGGCCACCCGGGGCCACGCGGGCTGGCTGGCCGGCCCGCACCGATGCAGGCCAGTCCAGCCCAACGACCAGCTCCAGGAAGCACCAGCCTCAGGCTTGGCAGAACCTGGGTCACAGCTGCTCAGGGCCAGAGAAACCCTAACCTGGGGTGTGAGGGCCGGGGACTGCACGGCGAACACACAACTTGAAGACCCCTGGACAGCACCCAGCCAGGGGCCACCGCCTCCCCCCCCCCACCCCTCCGTGCACAGCGGCGCCCTCACCTCAAGATGCAACGCCACGTTAGCCTGCTTCTGCAAATCCTCAGTAACACGTTTTAATGTACAAGAATCCAAAGTACAGCAGCTTTACAATGTAGGAAAATTTAATACATACTATATAAACAACATTATTTACATCAGAAATCACTAGGACAGTGGCATTTTTTTCACAAATATAAATAATTACTGTTCCATCAATAGGTTTTAAAAGTCCACAATTTTACACTGAAGGTGAGCCACCTGTCCCTGTCCCTGTCCCCGGCCTGTGGGCGCAGCCAGGGCCCCGGCCCAGCCCACGGCGCCTGCTGCCGGGTGGGTGCATTTGGTCTGTGGTGGGAACTAAGCGAGTACCCGGGGCCGCGGCCGGGCATGGCTGAGAAGTGCTCTCCGGTGGAATGCTACGCGGAGAAGAGAAAGCCCGGCCTGCATGGCTCCCCGCCCACCCCGGGGGGGGGGGGGGGGGCGGCCATCACCCGTGCCTAGCCAAGGGCTCGGGCCGACCCTGGTCTACCTCGGTGTGGGGATGCGTCCACAGTGAAAGCAGCGTGGGGAGCCCCAGCTGCAGGGCCCTGGGCAGCTTCTCCCCCCACAGGCAAGAGAAGGCCACCTGTGCAAATCTTGTTTGGACATGAGCAAGTGACACGGGCACCAACTTCGGCCAGAGCCCCGCTCCGCACACACCCACCCGCTCACAACCAGAACCTACAACACTGATGGGCGACGCCCGCCTTCTCCACGCAGGGCCCCACAAGCCAAGCCCCCCTTCCTCTTTGGCGTGGGACCGGCGGTGGTGACCAGCAAGGGGCCACAGGCCTGGCTCCTTGGCACGGCGCCCCACCCTCCCTGGCCGGGGGCAGGCAGCACACTCCTGCGGGGCGTGGGGCGCAGGGCAGGGGGACGCTCCAAGTGCAGTGCAGAGGCAGCAATGGGGCCACCACGGACCTCCCCAGCCAAGGCCCTGCGGTAGACCCGGCCAGGAGCACGCGTGCCGGCCTGCCGCTCGCTGGAGACGCCGGGGCCCGGCCCAGCCACACTTCAGGCATGTGTGGCCCAAGGATGAGGCTGGACCCCACACATGCCCAGGGGGGTCCATCTGCGCTGAGCCTGGGCACCAAGAAGCACCCCACACCATGCCGTCTGTTCCCGTCCGTTCTCCTGTCTCCATCTGGAAAAGCTTTGGATCCCTTCACAATACTGACACGCTCTATGAAACACGAATACCACCGGAGGCCAGAGGACGGGCGCGGGGCCCCCCCGCCGGCGTCCACACCCGACTCCCACGCCCAGGCCCAGCCCCCGGCCCTGTGTGCTTCTTGGACTGGGGAAAGGGGCGTTAGGTTTACACACTTTCCTGACCTTATTCTAAAAGAGACTGAGTTCAATCCTGACACTCTTGGGCACAGTGCTGGGGACACAGGCCTCTGGACAGTCCGCCTCTCCAAGTTGTGCAAAGCGAAGGAGATGCGGCTGAAATGTCACCTCCTCCAATGCTTCCCGTCTGAAGGCCCGCTCCCCGGCGGCCCGAGCGCCCCGGCCTCGGAGCCTGCTGCCCGCCGCCCACCGCACGCTGCCCGCACTCCCTCCCCAGGCCAGTGGCTTTCCTTCCCACCCCAGGAACCAGAAATCCACCAGGGACTCCCGCCCCCCCCCACTGACCCACCCAGCCCCGCCCCAGTCCAGCAGCACAGGGCCACAGTCCCGAGGGTCACGTCCACTGGGGGCCCTGCCTTTCCCGGCACGGGAATGGGACCCAGCCAACGAGACCAAACCTCTGAAATGTACCGACAATGCGGGAAAATTAGTGTCACCTCGGTGGGGAGAGAGCACGGCAAAAGCTGTTCTCCCCGCCCCACCCGCCCCGGGCCCATGGGGCTCACAGGAGACCAGGGGTGTCATTTCTCCCTAGAACACATTTGAGGGGTGTGCCTGCTCCCCTTTGCCCCCCACCCCGACGTGCCCAGCCCCTCTCCGGCTCCGGGTCAGCAGCATGGTCCTGTCAGCGCATCCTTCCCACCACTGCCTAGAGCCAGGGCGCAAAGAAGCTCGGCCACTCACAGTCGCCCTCGGCCCTCCTCCCTCCCGGCCAGGGCTGGAGTGGGCCGGGAGCAGATGGAGGGGCGGGTCAGCGCCCTCGGGCTCAGCAGCCTCACGGCAGGACCACACCAAAAATGTCCTCGCACTGACGCCTCCTGCTCTCCCCGTCCTGAGCGTCCTTTATGTTTTCCGAGCGTTCCAGTTGTAATCCGGGTTGTTCTTCTGTTCTAGGGACCGCTCCAGAGGAGACCTGTGATCCAGAGGCGACTTGGAGTCATGAGGGGATTTCTGAGAAGGGGGTGAGCGGGGATCCGAGGCAGCCAGGGACAGCGGGGGCAGCGGCTGTTTATAATCTCCCTGCTTGTCTGTGTGGAAGGAGCGGTAGTGGTCTGAGGGTCCCTGGCCGTGGTAACCCATAGGGGGTCGATGGTCAGACATGCGCCGGAAATCCTGCTGGTGGTAGTTCTGAGGCCTAAAGTCGTCGGATCTCCTCCGCTTAGAGTCATGATGGTGCCTGGAACAGAGACGCCGCGTCAGCTGACCGAGAACCAGAGGCGCCACTCCCCGCGGCCGGCCGCCTTTGCTCCTGCACGCACTCACTGCTCTGGCACACACGCTCACAGCCCACGAAGCCAAACAACACGCAACTCCCAACAGCCGCTCCCTGCACTTGACGGGACACACACGCTAGGAATGACAGAGGACGCATCACACTGCAGCGTCGCGGCCTGTGCTGAAACATCATTAGTCGCCTTCTCCCTGCGGGAAGCACAGCACCTCCAAACGCTTCCACACCCAATCAACTATTTACAAACTTGCTATCCAACAGCAAACAAAAGGCTCACAAAATCATCTTTTTTAAACTGACTCAATGTGAAGAGTATTGAGAGAGCCTGACATCCTGAGTTCAAGCCTTGATACCAACACACACACACACACACACACACACACACATACACACACGGACTTCCTTGATGGCAGACATGTCTGCCAAGCATCAGGAGTGCGAATGGCGCACGGCGCTCTTCACGAAGCACTGCCCCGGGCACACACCTGTCGTAGTAATCTCTGTGGCCCCGGTGTTCTCGGTCGCTGCTGTACTGGTCATACGGTCTCTTTCTGGACAGGCTGTTGGGGCGGTAGCTTCCAGAACGGTGGGCGTCCACGTGCCGCCGGTCCCCGTAATGGTGGTCTTTGTGCCAGTGCTGCTCGTACGGATGGTGCCGGTCGCCGCCCCACGGAGGGTTGCTGCTGCCACCACCGTAACTAAACTTCCTTTCCCTCTGCCAGTCTCCTCGGTCTGCAGAGAGGCAGGAATGACCTCAGGATGAGCAACAGCTGAATCCCACTGGTAGTCTCAACAGGCCTCCTCCTGATACTCTTACTCTGGCTAACACACCACTAATATGTGAACCCCTCCACCAGTTCCTCAGACAAAAAGAAAACCTACTGTGTCTCCCTCCTGAAACTAACTGCTCTTCATCTTCCACACCCGCTTCTCTTGTCTTATCTGCGCAGGCCCGTGACATGAGGTTTCACTCAAATACCAAAACCAAACAGCAAGCTGGAAAACACGACTGCTGAGATTCAGCACTGCAAGGTCCACACGCCGGGCGCTGACTGCACCTGCTAAGCCGTATGTGGGCCTGGTTCCCGAAATTCTCCAAACTATAAGCAACTGCTCTTCCTCGGGCCACAGCACTCATTTTAGAAGCTTAGAAAGGGACCTGGTCTGCCATCCGCCTTCTGTGCTTCCTCTGACTGTGGACTTAGAAGCTGCATAAGTCCTGTGGCCTCCCTGTTCTCCAAGGAAAGGCTCACACTTGACTCAGAAAGGATGGGGACACTGCAAGTCCAGGAAGGAGGCTGCCATGAGCTGAACACATGGCCACCAGGGAGCCATGGGTATGGCGTTGGAAATAGGGCCTTGTTGAGGGAGTGAAGGAGCTGGAGGTGAAAGCACCTTGGATTTAAGGTAGGTCCTCTATCTAGTCACATGTCCTCTTCAAAGAAAGGCAGGAGGAGATATGTGGGCACGGGACAGCTGCAGGCAGAGAGCTGGTATTGATAGGGTGCAGTGACAGATCAGCACTATCAAAGACTGCTGTAAGCCATCAGCAGGTAAAGGAGGCCTGGGACACAATCTCCATCAGAAACCTAGCAGAAACCAGGTACCAATGGTGCCTGCCTGTAATCTCAGCTACTTAGGAGACTGAGATCTGAGGATCAAGGTTCAAAGCCAGCATGGGCAGACAAATCCGTAAGACTCTGCATCTCCAATTAACCACCAAAAAGCTGGAAGTAGAACTGTAGCTCAAGTGAGAAAGCACCAACCTTAGCTGAAAGAGGGACTGGGAATGGGGCCCAGTGGTAGAGTGCTTGACTAGCATGCATGAAGCCCTGGGCACCACAGAAACAGAATAAGCCACAAGTGGCACTCTGGCTCAAGTAGTAGAGTGCTAGCCTTGAGCAAAAGAAGCTCAGGGACAGTGCCCAGACCCCAAGTTCAAGCTTCAAGACTGGGGAGGAAACAGAAAAACTAAACAACTGCACCCAGACACACACACACACCCAGACACACACACACATACCCTTAAGCACACACACACACACCCTTAAGCACACACACCCTTAAACACACACACACACACACACACACACACACACACACACACACACACACACACACACACACACACACCCTTAAGCAGAGCTATGGCAAGCTAAACAACTGCACCCAGACACACACACACCCAGACACACACACACACACACACCCTTAAACACACACACACACACACACACACACACACACCCTTAAGCAGAGCTATGGCTTAGGTGGTAGAGCATGAGCCTTTAGCCTAAAAGCTCAGGGACAGCGTCCAGGCCCTGATTTCAAGCCCCAGAACCCATATATACATACAAATATAAATATATAGTACCTAGACTCATTGAGTTTTAATTTTTACTTTTTTCTTCTAATTAATACTCGTTTTTTCAGCTGTTTCAAGAGTGCAGTTAAAAGTTTTAAATAAAAAATAGTTTTATATGTATATATTTACACATATATATATATACACACACACATATATATGATGTGTGTTTTAAACTACAGAAGAGCTAAACTGAGCTGATAACAAGTACAATGCCTCATACGCCTATTTTTGTAGTAATAACATTCAAAGTCGGTGGTTCTTCAAGAATGTCATATGATGTGAGTGACTATAGTCACAACAAGCCACCAATCTGTTGAGCCTGCCTCTCCTCCGACTCTAACTAGAAGTTGGTACATTTGAGCCACATTTCTTCCAACTCCACTCCAGGCTTGCAGTCCCTGCTGACCATGTCCTACTCTAGCTCTGTGAGTTCAACTTTAAGAGTCGATGTCAACTAGATCACACAGAACCTGCCTTTTGGCTTCTTAGCATAACCCTGGGCTCATCTGTGTTGCTCCAAATGGCAGGATTTCTTTCTGAACAGATTTCTTCATGGCCATGTGCCACACTTGCTAATTCCATTCATTTGCTGATAAACACTAAGGTTGATGAATAAATATGAATACAAGAATCTCTTGCACAAATGAATTTTAGTTCCTATGGATGTGTGTATATCTGTATATATACACACATGCACTCAGTTTGGGATTGCTGGGTCATGTGGCCGTCCTATTTTTAATTTTGTCATAAAGTAAATGAAATTTATAAATACTCCTCTTTATAATGGCAGGACAAACTTACATTTTTCTACCAATAATGTATTTTATGCTTTGTCTCACCAAGCAAATAAGAGGACAGCAGTCTTAAAGAACACACATGAAGGTCCTGCTGCAGTCTTTGGACAGTGAGCAACTGGAGTGGTGGCGCCTCTTTAAGAACTCACCCAGCAGCCTACCTGCGTTACTGAAGTGCCTCTTGTTGGGGTGACTGTAGTTATCTCTTGGGTGTCCATGCATCTGTGGGCCATGAGAGCCGGGTATATGAGGCTTCTGGGGGTGAAGGCCATGCGAGGTGTGGGACTGAGACAGCAGAGAATCCCGGCTTGAGCCTGAAGCCTCTGGGCGAAATGGTTTCTTCCCACCAATCATGTCATCTTTCTTCTTTTGCTCCTGTAAAGAGAACCCAAAACAGCTCAAGCTTCCAGGCTTAATTCCCAGGAGTGGAATAAAGTTTGTCACTTCTAAGTATTTCCCTCTTGTCTTCAACTTTTCAATTGAAAACTTCTTTCTCAAAAAATGCCATGTCTTTTTTAATATAGAGACCTAAACAAGTAATCATTTGGTACTCTGTATTGTCTTGGTATTTCATAATATTTGCACTTAAGGTTCTGAACATCTTCCCATGTGAAATATTTATTTGTACAGTATCATATTTAATGGTTGAGTAGTACTCTCCAATATAAATGTCACAATCTAGCTAACCTGTCTCATGTTGGGCTTCCAGATCACTGCCAAGATAGACATATTTAAAACCTTAATTTTCCCCTGAAATGGAATTCTTAAGAGCCTAATTGTGCATTCTAGTCTTTGTCAAATGTTTGCTCCAATTTTGGTTGTAACAAAGTACACCTCCACTAAGAGCCCAGGATGGTGGTGACAAGGTACACTCCCACCAAGAGGTCATCACTGGGCCCTGTTATCAGATCACACTAGCTTCTAATAATCAGGTGACCCTTACCCTGACTGTACTGAGACTCGGCAATATCAGATTATTCCTGTGTCCAAGAGACAGAATCTTCAGTGTGAATTCAGTCATCAACAACTTGCAAGCATCATTTCCCAGGCCAGCAGAGCACTAGACATGTGTCAGCTTCCTACCACAAGCCCTCCTGAAGGCCCTGTCAGCAGGGAGCGCACACACAGGTCAAAGTGGCCAAACCGTTCAGACTTCCCCCACTGCTGATTCGGGCAAGAGTCACATGCAGGCTTGCAGCACCACAACACTGACTCCACAGCAGAGGCCAAGTCACCTCAGCACCGCCCACTCTGCTCCATAGAGGGTCGGCAACTCGGGGCCCTGATGCATCTTTTTTAAGTGAGCAACTGGGACCCCTCTTTGGAGGGGAAGCAGCTGAGTCATCCAAGTAGAGATGACAAGCAAAGCTCACCTTCTTGAGCTACAGGTGGGCAAAAGCTAACATTGACAGTAGATGGTGTAGACACACCCAAGGGCTACAGGACTATTAGAGAAACTAGACTTTATCTTTCGGTTTTCGCCTCAGGGGCCTCACCCTCGAGCTGCCTGCTCAGAGGCCTACCACTTGAGCCACACCTCTAGCCCGGGTAGCTGGGAATGAAGACGAATCTTAAGACTTTTTCTGCCTGGGCTGGCATTGAACCACGACTCTTCTCCCATGTCAGCTTTCTGAGCAGCGAGGATGACCGTCCCCTCCCTTCATGCATTTCATGATAGGTGAAATGTGCAGAGATGACAACAGGCAATAGACTCAAACGGGAATACAAGGTAGCAGTAACACAAGGGGATATCATGTGAGAAGCCAAACATGGGTGAGTTTACACTGAGGCAGAGAAATCCAGGTCGCCTCTCCAAAAGGCCTGCGCTTCACTATGAAGAAAAAGTTGGATCGTGTACATTTACATAGTCAACTTTCTGTTAAACCTTTCTTCTAAGAGTCCAATAAAGCAAGGACACCAAGTGTATGGCCCGGAAAAGGATTTTCTGTCCATGATCTTGTTGCCTATGAGGAGCCACATTTACTTACCAGCTACCATTGCACATGTGGTAAGTTAGTGGCTTGAGGACACCAGGTTCTTGTCAGGTCTCACAGCACTGTCTGGCTGCACTGTACTGCCTGTCCGTGGGTGGAGGGTGCTAAGAAACTGCAGCTAACGCAGTGGAAGACCACACTGTAATGTGTGCAGGCCGCAGACCCGTGACCCATGGCCTTCGCCACCCGCTTGGACAGCTGCTCCCATATGCAAATCAAGAACAAAATGCCAGGACTCCTTCCAGCACTCCAACGCTGTGAGACCTGATCCATCTCCCCGGAAACAAAGGAATTTTCTGTGGAATTCTTTTTTGTTTACATGAATTAGGATGAAATGTGTATTACCTCCTCTTCTTGAGATCTTTTCTTATGAGCCATCTTGTATAACTTATGGAGTTTTTGAGCATCAAATTCTGTAAACTTGGAAACAAAAATCCATAGGTTCCTAAAAAACAAAAATTAATATTACTAGTAAATGAAAGAACTTTTAGAAGGGTAAACAAAGGAGGAGGCTGCAATGCTTGGTAAGAAATGTACGCATTATCCTGCCCATGTAATTGTAACCCCTCTGTACAGTATGTTCACAAATAAAATTAAATTAAATTTTAAAAAAAAAGAACTTTTAAAAAGCTTTTTATGCTCTTTTTCTTTGGGGGCGTGGGGAGGAGAGTATTGGTCATGGAGCCTGAACTCAGGGCCTGGGCATTGTCCCTGAGCTTTTTCGCTCAAGGACAGCACTCTAACATTTGGAGCCACAACTCCACTTCCATTTTCTGGCAGTCAGAGATGAGTCTCATGGACTTTCCTGCACTGGCTGTCTTTGAACCGCAATCCTCAGATCTCAGCCTTGTGAGTAGCTAGAGTTACAAATGTGAGCCACTGGTGCTTGGCCCTGTTTATGCTTTTTATTGATAGAAAGCTACTTTATTTTGCCATGGAATATTATGCAATGACCTTAGATTGACCACATGTGGTCCTGACCAAGCATAGTAAATAATAGTCATTCATAAACAAAGATTTCTAATTCTCACACAAACAGTACACAAGTTAGTGGATACAGACCAACTCAGGCAGTCCCATGTTGTTAGTTGTATTTAAACCACTGTTGACCTGCTGAGTTTTTTATGGTCCTTAATGTCGTGAAAATCTGCCTCCAAAAAGCAAATGATACCCAGAAAGCAAGATAGAAGTGAATGTGCTTGACTGAGGCCATTCAGTGATCTGCTGAAAGATCTGCTGAAAGGCAGGGTGCGGTTAGTGGAACTGGATCACACAGAACTCCAGGCAGCCTGGGCATGCGTGGATTTTCCTCCATGACCTCTCCTTAGAACCATGTACCTGCCAACACCAATGGTCTACTCCATCTCGAGTGCGGAAAACTTAAGGGACGGGCTTGCTCTAAGTCTCCACATCAGAAAAGCATCTGATATCTGCTATCAGGAGGAGGACTGAAGGCTCTTAGGTAGGACTGTCAGCAGCAGAACTCCTATGTGGCATCGATGGTGTCTGGCTGCAGTCTGGCCCCCACGCCCCACCCACTTGCACACTACACATCCATCCGCACTGCTACCTCCCAGGTCAGGCTGGATGCATCTGGTCTTCTCTTGTAGCCCTGCTTCCCTCCCCACCCCCCCACAATCCGGTTATCATCCTGAAGTCCGGACACACGGACCTAACACACTCTGTGCCCCCTTCCTGTAATTCCATCATTCTCACCCACACATGGCACTAAACTTGTAATGAACAAGGACTCTATGATGAACTCTTGCTGGCCAAGGCCACAGGGCCTGGGGTATTCAGCCAAAGGCTCACATCCTAGGATGACCTAGTGAAAAGGAAGTCAGATGCACTGGCTACAGAAGAAGTTGCTAATGGTGCTAAGGAGAAGAGATACAACATTTGTAAGGTTAGTGACCGCCTGTGGACAGCATCATGACTAACTAAAAATGCATCCTAACTCAGCTTTTCACTCAGCAATAATCTCGGCAAAACTGGACTACAAAGGTACGTTCATTAACTGTGAGAGCTAGGAGTGGCGGTAGAGGCCTGCAACCCCAGCACGCGGGAGGCTGGACAGGAGGCTCACCACCCCACACCAGTCTGGGGTGTGTATCAAGACCTAGCCTCAGATGCAAAGTACTGTAAAATTACCTTCCAGCTATCTGTAGGTGGTGTATACTAAACATAAGTGCTAAGATGTCAAGATCTTATATACAGAAGTATTTGTATACAAATATTTCAAAATCCAAAACACTTCTGGCAAGAGAAATTCAACCTACTTTTAGATGAGTACTGATAAGCTAAGCAAGGTCAAAACAGAGTGCGGATACTTGTTGTTTTAAAACCACTGCTCCAGTGCCTGTTTCAATACAGAACCAATCAATTACTTGTAGAAGCTATCTTATGAGTATCTACCTGAAATGAATGTAACAGTAGTTACACTGGATAGTTTCTTAGGGGAAGGGGAACAGTACTGGGGTTTGAACTCAAGAGCCTCCTTCTTGCCAGGCTGGCGCTCTACTACTTGAGCCGTGTATCCAGTCCACACTAGATGATTTCTACCATGTACAACAAGTCAATAATCTGGGAGGACATCCACTATCACTTTCTCTTGTATCTTACACTGAGAACGCCATCTTCTGCTTTCAAAAGGCTGGTCTTGATGGGACGGGCAATTCTGTGCAGAGGAAGCAATGCCTACAGGTATGTGGGCAATGGATGAATTGTGCTGGGCCATGCCATACCGCTTATCACACAAGCATAGAAGCTACCCATTCACCATGATGAGTCAAACTAGGCAAACTCCAGGCCACAGGTGGTTACCTCCTCCATAGTTTGATGTGCTCCTGGTCTGAGTAAGCTTTAAGGCACTCGGCTATCCGGTCTCCAATTTTGAGCAGGCAGCTCCGGGTGTGTTCCAGCTGCTCCTGCACATTGAGCCCCTTGTCGGGTTTGTCCAGCTCTTTCAGGGCCTTTTTCACGGGCCTCATTCTCTCCTTACACTGCAACAAGGCCAACAGAGTAGAGATATAAGGCACATGCAGGAAAGAAGTCTTCTTTTCCACCTACTACTCCCCAACTCCCACGATCTGAGAAAAGGCAGCCACATGCATGCCAATAATTGCTACGGGATGAGCAGATGACAGCAGAGGAAGCGAGTAGCACATTCATCAGAAAATCCTAGGCTGCAAGTGCCAACACACCACCATTACTAGCGTTACATGGTGACTTTTACCTAACCTCTCTAAACCTCCTCTCTGGGCGAGGCCTCTAGAGGCCATTCTGAAAATCCAACAAGAAGCAATGTCACAGTCCTCATCTGAAAACCTTCACCAACTATCCAGAAACGCAGATTAAAATATTTACAGTAAGAAAAGGACTTCTATACGAAGATGGTAAATTGAACCCAATAATCTTTTACTCTCCCTTTTCAATGCCACTAGAACAACCTGAGTAAAAAGATTGTCTTTAAAATACATACGCCCATAAACAAAGAGAAAATTCACTGCCTCAAACACAGCAGCATGGGAAGTAATTTAACAGGACTAAGAGAATGAGATGCTAAGCTGGCGATGCGGTCAGCAGACAAATCACCCACCTCCTCCCCACCCCCCGGCCATGGTGTACACTGTAAGATCCCCCACGGCCAGTATTCCTGGAAGTTGGGCGAGGACTGGTTTACAGATGGCTTGAGAAGTAACAGATACCCAGGCTCACCAGTGACTCAACCTCTGACTCTGCATGCAACAGGTATAAAAGCTTGTTCTGTGGCAAGGAAAAAGAAAGCCCTCCGGGATGGCTACCCAGGCAGAGGTGAGAGGAAGTATGCCGTAGTCAAAACAGGATTATCTAAACCCAACGCAAGCATACTCCATGGAGTTCTTCACCAAACCCAACCACCCTAGGGAAGCACCAAAAGATGCAGACTCGGACTCCCGGGAGCCCAGCCCCACAGTAGAAGCCCGCAAAGCCAGCTCCACGTGCTCTGATTTCTCATCAGGTGTGTAGTCTCCTGCTCTTAAACATGAATAGACACCATTTGAGGAAAGTTTCCAACATGCATGACAAGAAACAGAGAAGTATGAAAACATTTAAAATACTGTAACAGAAAAAAGATCATTGCTATGAAATAGGGCAAAAGAAACACACAACTCAAAGGGAATCAGGGAAGATAATCTCCCCAGACAATAAAACTAGGACACAGTTATGACCCACTGGATATCTAGCCCATTCAACTATGACACGGGATCATGAAATTCTGCAATAATGAAAGCCCTACACACTTCTTTCATTTTGTGGTAAGTCTCACAACTGTACAGTTCTTTAAAATCTAAGCAATTTCAGTACTTATTAACTCAGGGCTTTGCACATGCTCAGCTTGCTTACTCAGCTGGTACTCTACCACTGTGTCTGTAGTGCAGACCTTTCTGCCTGGGCTGGTCTCAAACCACAATCCTCCAGATCTCAGGATCCTGAATAGTTAGAGGCATGACCCAACAGCAACCAGCTTAAATTTCAATTTTAATAAAGAAATCAAAATAACATGACAACTGGAAGATACTTGTCAATGGAATGTAATAATGAAGAATATATAAAAGATTCCTGTGGATATGATAAATTACCCCCAAATAAGCAAAGATAAGAAATAGGCAATTCACTAGAAACATGAATGCCTGGTAAATAGGAAAATAAATGTTCAACCACACCACAAGTATTTCATACACCCCTAGAATGGCAAGATGTATGACTCAGAAATTATTACCCACTTTTGAGAATGGGGGTAGGGGAGGGTGGGGCACGCCAATGCACTCCAAATCACTGCTAGAAAGAGAAATCTCTATAGCAGTTTTTAAGAGTCGACAGGACCTAAAATGGTAGGTGCACCTGCCAGCTGGTCCTCACTGTAGCCATGGCGGCCTGTCACATGCGCATGCTGTTGTCTGGCCTGGTTCTGGCCCTCCCACCTCTTCCTGTTGTCTTTCATTCCTCCTTCAAACCTCACTCACTTCCTTAAGCCTTCCTTCCATCTCTCATGAGATCTACACAGTCCTACTCTCCAAATGCAGCAGCGCTACCAACCCCCCCATCCTGTGTGGTTAGCCACCTCCCCACTCAGATGTAAGGTCTACAAGGATTGTAACAGTCCTCCACTACTCAGCCTCCTAAGCCCAAAGGTTAGCACACAGAAGACATTCCATCAGTGCTAGCTCTTTCCACAAATGCCCGAGGGTCCCTACAGACTTTCTGACTGGCAATACAGATATGAAAACCAGTCCCTAAACTTCTTCCTCACACCTGTAATCCTAGTTACACAGGAGGCATAGGTAGAAGAATCTTAGTCTAAGGCTAGCCCCCAACAAAAATAAAAGGCAGACCTATCTGAAAAATAAAAGCACAAAGGGCTTAGGAGGTGTGGCTCAAGTCATAAAGCACCTGCCTAACAAGCACGGGGG